AGCAGTTAGAACAACTTATTATTTTTGAATAGGGTGAACATTAGATTCAAGTTGAAAAGACACCCTATGAACTTCTTAAGGGGGGAACATCAAATCTTTCACATTTATGTGTCTTTGGATGTAAGGTGTTCATTCATAATAATGATAAAACTCTTTAAGGAAAATTTGATCTTAAATTTGATGAAGGAATTTTTCAAGAATATTCTAGTGTTGTAAAATACTATAGGATTTATAAAAAGAGAACTTTGGTATATGAGGAGATCACACATATATTATTTAATGAATCTGCTATATTTTAAGAGCCGAGGTTAGAGGAATAAAATATTAAAGAGATCTCCCAAGGAATTGAAAAGATAAATTTTGAAGATAATGTTAGAATAAATTATACATTACCTACAGAGTGAAAATTTTTTAAAAGTCATCCTAAAGAATTGATTTTTTGTGAACCAAGTCAGAGTATTAGAACTTGGCATTGACTCAACAAAAAAGTGAACCACTCTTCTTTTATATCATTGATTTAGCCCACTAATATAAATCAAGCACTTTATGATAATTTTAGATTTTGGCCAATAGGAAGAATTGAATTAGTTTGTTAGAAATAATATTTGGGAATCGATTGAAAGGCCTAAAGATCAAAGTGTTGTTGGAACTAAGTGGGTGTTCAAAAATAAAGTAAATGATTCAGGTATAGTGGTTAGAAACAAAGCAAGATTGGTGGTCAAGGGGTATAATCAAATAAAAGAAATTAATTTTGAAGAAACTTTTACCCTGTAGCCATACTTGAATTAATAATGATATTATTAGCCTTTGCCTGTTTTAAATTATATCAAATGAACGTTAAGAATGTCTTTCTTAATAAGTTGATATAATAAGATTTTTATATTGAGCAACCTCGAGGTTTTGAAAATTCAAAATTCCATAATCTTATGTTTAAATTGAAAAAGGCATTGTATGGACTAAAATAGGCTCCTAGGGCTTGGTATGAGAGGCTAAGCACATTCCTACTAAAAAGGTCATTTGCTAAAGGAAGTGTGGACACCACTCTCTTTTTAAAAAAGGTAGGAGAAGACATGCTCATTGTTCAAATATATATTGATGATATCTTATTTGGATCCACCAATAAAAATCTTTGTTATGATTTTTTAAGAATGAGTCGTATATTTGAAATGAGTTTCATTTTTTTAACACACTCAACTGAGTACGTAACTCAAAATGCTCATGAGTTTATTTCTTTATTATGCAAAGTTTTCTTGGTTGTAATTTTAGTTTTCACCTTTCAAATTTCTTGAAATTATTTATTATTTGGTGTAATATTAATTGATAATCTTAGATTAAATTATTTATGCATAAATATCTTTTATCTATAAAACTAGCAAGCAAATCCTTTTATTTTTAGCTTAGATCTACCATCCAAATTTATGTAACTATTAAAAGCAGAATAAAAAAATTTTTACGTACTTAATATATCCATTTTACATGACTTAAAGTAAGCAAATTTAATATTCAATTTGTAAGTAGTGAGGTTATTGAAATTAAATTATAAAAATTGCCTAAATTATTTTGCTTATTTTATCTCAAGGTAATTTGATCTTATATTATTTACATCAAATTATGTTTTCTTTTTCTTAATCTAAGCCATTTGGTTCAATTAATTTATATTGTAATTAGATTAGGTTGTTTACAGACATGTAGGATGGTACTTAGGTTGTAAATAACTTCTTTGACTTAAAAAAGTGAGGTTTACCAGGCAAACTTGAGATTAGTGGATTCTAATGCGAGAGTTGGTTAGCATGGACGTAGATCGGATTGGATTTCAAACTTAACCACTTAAAAATATTTTGCAGGTTATTTTCTTTTATTGTATTTTTTTCTTTATTACTTACAAAAAATTTATGTGTTTATTTATTTCCTTACCAAAAAACAACAAAATTATTTTGATTAATTTTTTAATAAAATTTTATTAAAACCAAATTCATCGCTACCTCTTGGGTGCCATAATCATCCAATAAAATGTATCCTGATATATTTCTGTGATATGAGACTGAGTTTTGAAATGTCGAGGCAGATATTTTTAAAAGGTGAAAATTGTAGTACCTCCATAGTTAGTATTCAATTCAACATATTTTAACCATGTTTAAAAAGATAAATTCTTGAATATCTATATTTTTAAACTCTTATGTATTTTCTTGAGAGTGTTTTGTAAGCATGTGAAAATTTTCATGTATTCTTAAGTGGGTCCCAGGGGACTTCTTTTATGTTTATGAAATTTAAATTTTTCTTTGGTGGGGGGGGGGCTATTTTAAGCTCCCCGATGGAAAGATCTTAGAAAAATTTGTAAATAATCTGAGGCTCGGGCACACGACATTGTTGTAGGTTTCTATAGAGTACAATGTGGCGCATGACATTCTTGTAGGTTTCTATAGAGTACCATGTGGAACCGCAGTGCTAGACCAATTTAAAATGTTTTAAAATATCTCAAAATATTATTCATTCATTCTATTTTCATTTAAGCACCAAATCTAGCGAGAGTAAGAAAGAAAATGTTGGTTTTAGCCACTTCAGGTTAATTTGAACTATTGGCTCAGTTCTAAAAGTTGTATGGATTGAGGAAGGTCATGTTTTGCCTATTCCAATTTTTAAAAATATAGGTTTTTTTATAGTTTTTTATTATATTTATAATTTCAGTACCAAAAAATAAGAATAACTTTATATATGCAAAACTTTCATTATATAACTTTTATGTATATTGTAGAAACAATAATTTTGAACATTTACAAATTTTTTTTTTAAATGCTTCACCAGGATTTAGGAAATTTCATTATTTTATTTGAATAGGAAATAACATGGGCTAAAAATATTATGGGTGTACTATTCATGTTTTATAATAATGTTTTGCATAATCCCTTGTGATTTGGTTATATTCTGAAATGATGCATTTTAAATAATAGTATTTTCTGTTGCCTACCATTATAATAATTAAATTATGAAATTTTGTAAAAAGTTTATTTATGCTTTAATTATGATAATGCAATAAACTATGTTCTTTTATTATTTAAAATAAGAAGGTTTGAGAAGGTTTCGCATAATAATAGTAAGATATATTCTAGTATATGTAAGGTTAAGGTGGAAAAAAGTATGTTATATTGGCAAAAAGCCATACTAGGTGGAAAAAGTCATATTCTTGTGCCTACAAATATGTTCTAGTGCTACAAGCACATTTTTATTTAGAGATGACATTGGGAGTTATAAAAATGAATTTTGGTACATATTGCTCTTAAATATGAAATGTTTATTTATTCACTTTTTTGCACTACAAGTTAAGTTCTTTAATAACTGTAAGTACAATTTTGTTAAAGAAAATGATTAGTATGAAATAAATTTTAAAATTTAGTTGTGTATTTCTTAAAAAAAGTGATTTAAAAATTTAAATCAATTTAAATGTGGCCTGCTCAGCTGTGTAGCTCATAGATTTTTTTTTTTTCAAGGTTTTAGATAGGGAAGGAGCCTTATGATTTGCATTTTAGAATCTTATATTAATATGTATGCATATTCTTCTGTAGATTTTTGTATAGTCATGACTAACTTTATTTATATTTGCTCTATTCTCTATTATGTAAATATATATTGTATTGTAGATTTTGTATAGATATTTTTATGATGAAATAAAAATTTTGTGAATGAGTTATTTCTTATATACTAGATGTTGTTAGTAGCTATGTGTAGTAAACATGCTTCATAGAGAGTACATTACATAGTTAGAGTTAGAAGAATCTACTAGCACAAGATCTATTACTAAGAGAATGTTAGCCTATTTAATCGGTTGATAAGGCCATAGTTAAAGGATGGTGGTCAAAGGATGATAATTCGTTTGCTATGGTCAAAAGAACTATGGCCACACAGTTGTGGTCAAACGGATCGTAGTCAATATACTGAGGTAAGAGAGACTGTTGTCAAGAAATAGGAGTTTGTGGGACCCAAGTTGGGCGATCGAGGTTTAGAGAATATAATCAAGTGATGAAGGTCAGTGGAACCATAATTAGTTGGTGACGATGGTCAGAAGGATCATAATTAGTTGGTGATGAAGGTCAAATGGACCATTATTAAGCGAAGATGGTATGAGGGATCATAGTCTGCTGGCAATGATGGTAAATGGGATTGAAGTTAACTTCAGTCTATGGTTGAAGGGATAATAATCAGCAAACAACTGAGGTTGAATGGATCATAGCTTGGTGAAGATGGTTCAACGATCATAGTCATGCAACATAGGTTGACTGGATCATATTTGGAAAATAGTAGTCAGAAAGATCATAGTCAATCGATGGTGGTTTGAGATACCAATTATAAAAAGAACGTCTAGAAATATAGACTGAGTTTGTCTACAATTCCAATTATAAAAAGTACGATTAGAAATATATTTTTCCTGGGCTTTATGAAATTTTTAGGGCCTGAAGTTATAAATTTATGGGAAAATGTAGAATGAGTTTGTCTCACTATAAAAAAAAAATCAGTATTACCGGCAGACCAAATCCGTCGAAAATACACAAAATGCATTGGAAAATACGTCGTTATGCTTCCTTCGCATGATGCGCCTGTGCAAACACCGTAGTTACCAACGCAAAAATTTGCACTGGAATGTCCGACGGTAATCGCGTGTTTTTCTTAGGTTTTTTTGCTATATAAAATAAAAGTTTCACAAGTTAGCTTTTTTTAGAAAATTTTCTTAGTATAGAACTGAATTGATATTTTCTTAGTAAATATGATAGTTATATAACAGTCTTAAAATATTAATTTGAATAATTTCATGAAGTTTTTTTTGGGTAAATACCATGAAGTTATAAATTTAAAGGAAAAAATAGAGTGAGTACTGTTATACGTACATATAATTTAGCTTTTATTAATAATTCTGACAATTCATACATTATTTAAATATGAATTGATATCATAAAGTAGCTACTCTTGAATTCCGCTTCAGAAGCCAAGAAGGCAAGAAGAAACCCGTCATGGAACCTCCTGCTCGAATCTCTTGTTCCGGCAACTGCCTTGTCCATCTCCACTCAGCTGCCGGCAAAGCCTGGTTGCAGCAACACTCCTGCCCTTTCCAGCAACATGCTGGCCCCGACGGCTTTACACGCTTTCGGGTCCCCACAGCCAATAACGAGCCAACATTCCTTTCAGCCTACGAAATCTTCACATCTCTTTTCCAGAGCCAGATAGCCGCCTTGGAACGCCTCCACGGACAACGAGTCCAAAACATTGTCGCCTTAATCCCCGCCACCATCAACTCCCGCAATTATCTATCAGAACTCCCCACCATCGCCGCCGCCGCAGGAGTTCGCATTGTCCATTCCATCCAAAGGTCGGTTCTTGCCGCATCCGCTTACAGATCTCTCAGGACCCCCGGACGCAGAACCATACTCGTATTCGAATTCGGAGGTCAATTCCTTGAAATCTCTCTGCTCACTGAAGATCGGGGTCTAAATATAATGGCCACTGTTTCCGAATTGGGCTGCCCACTCATGAACTACTTGGTTTCAGAGGTTCCTTGGAGTTTCGGCATCGACCCCGAATGTGACTCCCTCTTTCTCCTTTACGCCCTATTGGAATGCGAGCGAGCCAAGAACGCCCTATGTTTGGGCTCGGCTACCGTGGAGATTAAGATTGAGCAACTAGGCATGGAGACGAGAAGATCGATAAATCGAGAATGGTTAGTGCGGATGAATCTCAACCATCTTCGCAATGCAATCATGAGGTGCTTGACAGAAGCCGGAGTAAGGAAAGAAGCCGTAGATGAGGTCGTGCTCGCCGGTGCTTCCTGTAACATACCAGAGGTCCGAGGAGTTCTTCTTGAGTTCTTTCAATGGGATAAGTTCAGATGTAGCATCGACCCTGCAAACCTCATGTCCTTGAGTTCCCAGCAATTCATAAATAATTTCTCCAGTACATTTAATATCCCTGTGGTAATTCTTGAGGGTTTAAATTTGGGGCTGCACGCTCTTTGAGGTTCTCCTTCATTATTCTTTCAAGTTCTTGTGAATAAAGCAGCAGTCTACAATAATAACAAGAAATTGCTACGGAATTCTTTGATAACGGGCTATCTCGTTCTAGTGGTTGAATAGTTTAGTTTCACTTGCATGATTTTGGATTTGAGGCCAAACGAATCATTAATGTGCATGAGTTTTCAATTAAATTTGCTAAAATGTCCCTCAAGAAAATCTTTGATCGGCAGAATTTGAAATTCCAACTCATTTACATTAAGTATTGGTGAAATTTGCACCCATTTTCATGAAAGATGATGTATTTTTATCTTTTGTAGATTTGTTTTTGTTGGTTGTTTTGTACTTATTTTAATTTTTAAATCTGGGAGTTACAGAATGATTAATGAACTAATGATTAAAAGAGAATATGATTTTTTTTAAGATTATAAATTTAAAAATCTAACTCTTCAAATTTTCGTAGAAAAATTGAAATTGAATCAGGTCTTGTGGTTTTTTCTCTTTTTGGCATTTTAACATAAAAATATTTTTTCTTAGGATTATTTTCAACTTATTTATGTATATGTAAAATATTAGATTAATGTTAGGATGAGAAACTCTTTACATATTGTCATGATTATTTTAGCAAAAGCAAAATTAATCTAAGGGATTGGAGGGTTGGGTAGACAATTGTTAATATATAAGAAGAAAAGTTGAGGGGAGGGTTGTCACACCCCGACAATGAACCTGAATAAAAATAATAATAACTAAAAATAAGATGTGAGCTAAAAGTTTAAAGATAATTTTAAAATTAAACAAAATTGTTATTTCAATAATACTTATTTTCATTATTAAAATCATTGAGCATCTAAACTCAAAGTACATGCTAAATATGTACAAAGTTTAAATGAAATCAAATTAAAATATTAAACCAATTTAATTCTAACCATAATTGGACCATAAGCATGAACCTAGAAATAACAATTTTGTAGGAATTACAATTAGTAATCTAAAATCACAAAGTAATAGGATGAGCTTATAAGAATGAACTCTGCATGTGAAATTCCACTGAGTAAAATATAAGCATGCATTAATGCCCTCAATAAAATATAAATATCAATGAATGAGGCATAAATATAAGCAAAGGAAGAGATATCAATTAAAAATAAGCATTATATTACAACAATTATAACAAATATATAACATATGAGATTATTTATTTATTTATATAGAAATCAATTTTTGTATTTGGAATAATAGCTCTTAATGAGGGTTATAACATGTAATATAGCTACATATTAATAAAATTGATTAAAAAAACATATTAATAAAATTGATGACTCATATGGTCAATAATTATTCTCAACAAATCAAAAGAATGCATATTAAACTTATATGAATTTGTGCAACAAAATAACATGATAGGTTATTTAGCAAATCATATCAAAATGATCACTTGAATTATTGTAATTAAATAAACATGTTTTATTATATTTCATTGACAACTAAATCATACAAGCATGTAGCAAGAAAAACGCCCATAACGACTATGCATATATTTATTTTTTACTGTATAAAGAGTCACCTATTAGGTCGAGACCATAATTTGTTGAACTAACATTTTGATCATGATTCCAATCTTTATTGCTTAAACATGCAGTGCTCCACAATCTTAGATTCAAAAGAATCTAAATCACTCAAATATTTAATATATCACACAATAAATATTATCAACCAAAATAATTAAGTTAATCATATCTAAAAAATTAAATATTTTCATCGGGCTTGCCTTTATTGCTTTAGGTCTTCATCATACTAAGGCTTCGTTTGGGAGGGCTTTCTTCCTGCTTCATAAAGCTGCTTTCTAGTACAAAAAATAAAATTATTATATTAAAAAGCTACTTTAAGAAGTAGTAAAAAAGCCATCCCAAACATAGCCTAAAAGTACCCCCAACCCTTCATGATTAAGCCTTTGCTTATAATAATCTGCAATCTCCCTTCAATTATATAAACATGTTATTACTTTGAATTAAAGGGAACTATAAACTTGATATTTAATATAATATCATGTATTAAAGTTAATTCACGTGTCACCATCGTCACAGCTTTTAGGGTTTAGGTGCTCTGGCGATTTTTGTGCGATTTGGCGGCCCGCTCCTTTCGTTGCTTCTAGCCCTTGATCCTTGTTTCTCCTCTGGTTTTTTCTTGTTTTGATCTCGAGTGCGGCTTCGTTCTTGGCCTTTTGGCCCTTGCAATAATTAATATTCACTTTCATAACTTAATCATAAGCTTAATATTCATTCATTATATATGAATCAATCAATTATGAATTTTTATGGTATCTAAGAAAAAGAAAACTAAATATTTACATCCATGATAAAATCCACTTAATTGTAATTATAATTCATTTCTGAGGACAATAAAAGTCCCTAATTTCAATAGAATTTGTAAAATTATAAGTTACTTCAATTTACTTATCTCCTTACCTTAACCTAATTCAATCAAATGTCAGCTACTAAAATGATAACTTAGTAATTTGCACCATAAATGTCCTCGCATAGGCTCAGCCAGGCACTTGGTCACTTCTCTCGTTCCCACTTATTCACTACTCACTTTCATGCACATTTGACTTTTTCACCTCCAATCGCTTGTCCTCTTGGTCAAATTTCTAGCCCTATGTCTCAATTCGAGACTTATAAGGCATAGTATTGCCTATCGAGAGTGGAGCAAACCCAATTTGTTTCGAGAAAGCAAACCATGGTTTATTATAAAGGCCAAGGGGAGATAAAATCTTGATTACATTTCTCCAAATCTTAAGATCACAAAAATTGAAATACATTTTACACTCTTTTAATGAAATTTAATTTTGATTATTTTTAATGCTTGACCATCTTTTAATGCTATACCAAAAATTTTGATTACATTTTACTAGAGCTCAAAATTCGTCTAAAGAAGGTAATGATTAAGCTTCTTATGTGGAATGTGAGGGGCATTGGTGGTAAGGATTCTAAACTTAGAGTCAAAAATATTTGTAGAATTAACAATATTAAGCTTCTTTTTTTGAGTGAACCTCTTATTAATGCTGACAAAATTGCTGATACTGCTAAATTTTTGGGTTTTACTAAGTTTTTTGCTAATTCCTCGAATAAAATATGGATCATGTGGAATAACCATATTGATGTAGAAATTGTGATGGATTATCATCAAGTTGTGCATTGTCAAGTTATGGTTGGTGATGTTTCTTGTTTTGCTTCGTTTGTGTATGCTGCTTACACTAGATTGAACCGTCTAAATCTCTGGGAACAATTGCTTAATTTTGCTAACAATATAAATGGCCCTTGGTGTGTTGGAGGGGATTTTAACATTATTGCTAATGCTAATGAGAGAAGGGGAGGAAAGTGCCCTAATTATAAAGCTATGGAAGATTTTAATGAGATGATAAATGATTGCAATCTGAATGATATTGGTTTTTGCGGTTCTCCTTTCACTTGGAATAGGGCTAATCTTTTCCAAAGATTAGATAGAATTTTGTTTAATAATGATTGGTTAGCTCGTTTTTCTGGTACTAATGTGGAACATTTAAGTAGAACTCTTTCTGATCATGTCCCTTTGCTTTTGAATATTAATGTTCTCAATCACATTGGTAATTATGCATTTAGATTTCTTAATATGTGGTTGTTGCATGATAATTTTAAAGTGGTCTTACAGAATAATTGGAATGCTCCTGTGTTCCCTGATAACAATATTTCTGGTATGCTAAGGCTTTGGGCTAAGTTGGCTAGACTTAAACAATGTCTGAGGTATTGGAATAAACATAGTTTCAAAAATATTTTTTCTAATATTTTGGAAATGGAGGCTAAAGCTATTGAATGGGAAGGTATTTTTTTGGATAATCCTTCTGAGGTTAATAGTGCCAAGTTAAGTGCCATTAAGAATGATCTTGTGAACTTGCAAAAACAAGAGGAAGCTTTCTGGCATCAGAAAGCTAATGCTAAATTTGTTATTGAGGGTGATAGAAATACCAAATTTTTTCATGCTATAGCTAACAAGAATAAGACTAAGAGCAAAATTCATAAAATCATTAATAATGACAATATTACTCTCGATTCTGATGAATTAATTTGCAAGTCGGGTGTGGATTACTTTATGAATTTGTTTAAATGTAATGAGGGTATTTTTCCTCTCCCTAATCCTGAGTATATTCCTAGGTGTATTGAGGTTGAGGAGAATCTTATGCTTTGCCAATTACCTTTGGAAACTGAAATTTTTAATGTTCTTAGGGAAATGAATGGTGATGCTACTGCTGGACCTGATGGTTTCACGACTAAGTTCTTTCAAAAGTCTTGGGACATTGTGAAGGATGATGTCATTTTAGCTGTGCATGATTTCTTTAAAGGTAATCCGTATCCTAAGTTTTTTTCATCTGCGAATATTGTTCTTATTCCGAAAATTGAGGGAGCTAAAGGTGGAATGAATTTAGGCCCATTAGTTTGTGTACTTTTTTTAATAAACTTAATTCTAAGATTATTGCTTCTAGATTAGCTTCTATCTTACCTAAAATTATTTCCTTAAATCAAACTGGGTTTGTTAAGGGGAGAAGTATTAGTGATAACATTTTACTTGCTCAAGAACTTGTTAATGATATTAATACTAAAGTTTCAGGGGGTAATATTATTTTTAAGCTGGATATTACCAAAGCTTATGATAATTTAGATTGGAATTTTATGTTTAAGGTCCTTTCTTTATTTGGTTTTAGTCAAGATTTTATATTATTGATTAAGAATAGTGTGGATAACTGTTTCTTTTCTGTGATTATCAATGGTAAAAATCATGGTTTTTTTAAATCTTATAAAGGACTTAGACAAGGTGATACTGTCACGACCCGACCCGACGGGGACGGATCCCGCCCGAGCCGGACCGCGACAAAACCTTCTTATCCAGGATCTGGCTTTGGAATTGGTTCCTGAACTGAATCTTCCAAATTAATCAACTCAACAGACACACAAACACAGAGCTACTATTTATCA